GAGAGAGAGAGAAAGAGAGAGAGTGATAACATAATTATTGTATGTAAAACCGAAACGTCTGGATATACAGAGCTGGGAATCCTTTAAGAGCAAAAGATTAAGATTATGTAACAACGTCTGTGCGTATTATATTGTCATCCCCAAGAGAAAGCATATACACGCACACTCTCACAACCAAACGCACACACACAAACATACATAGACAAACACACACACAAACACACACACAAGCACGCACATAAACATAGGCACGCATACACACAAAAGCATACTCACACACACGCACACACCCACACAATCAAATGAAAATTCCCAGGTAAATATTATTTTTAAAATGGTTGACCTCAGCCTCGATCTGATCGTATTGAATAGAAATCCAAAAGTAATTGCGACAGACATTAACAGCATTTTGTGCTGTCTTATGTAAAGAGGGGTAAGCTTTTTTGTGCGATCGCCAACAGCCACAAAATGTGACTGTCTTTTATTCTTGACACCACAAGCATTGACCTTTATTGGTCACATTACCTTCCACTGGGCCATTTCTTTTCTGATTACTACTTCGTGTGCTTTATATCTCCGCCCCCCTCCCCTTATTCCGTGCCCTCCCCATCATCTCTTCTCCAGTTCATTTTAATCTTCTTCACCATCTGGATCCTTTGTACCATGGACAACAAAATCGACATCATTTAGAGCTTAGACACGAGGTAAGTTGGCTACTTCAAAAGTGTCGGATGCAGTGGAGGTGGGTGAACCTAGATTTGGGTGGGGCTTAGGTTTCTTCCAGTTCTTTACCACCAAAAAAACAAGCAATAAGAACAACACAGTGATGATTTTTCTATACTCACGGTGAGCCAAGGCATTTTGAGAACCATTCAAGCGAGAAGAGTCACCTTTGTCTGCCATCTCTTTGTTCTACATTAAATTCTTGTGGATGGTGGGGACGCAGCCGTTTCACCTCCAAATTTCTCTAATAAGTTTTTATTTGATGAAACAGTTGCCTCAAAAGTGGTTTGATGTAATTAATAACTGTTAAATCTCAGCGACACAAACACACAGCACTCCAAACACACACCGTGCATGAGGTGGATTTGGGTCGTGTTGCAGAAAATAGAACGCGCCTAACAAAGGCCCAATGGGCGCAGAGGTAACTGTGTCACTGGGGGAAAGTGTGTCGTAAACTTTCACCCCATTGTCAGGGCTGGGAGAGCGTGAGCCCTCTGTGCAGTGTTATTTTTTCAAGTCTTCTACCTTTTTACAAGAGGGGTTTCATTAAGGAGAGACCGTGGGAACGGGCTGGTTGATTGCTGAGCCCTAAAGACATTTGATTGGCTGTTAGGTTACAATAGTTATAAGCGGGGACAACAGTGATTGGATAAACGAGCAAGCCGCCAAGTTGATCACTCTGTGTTCATTGCGGTCGATCAGAACAGTTTCAACTGCTTATTTCGTTATTTTCATTTGCCTTTGGGATAGACTTTGGGGGAATGGGGGGTGGGGAGGGGGGCTCAAGCCCGTGAGCCCTTCACTACCCACCGCCACTGGTCGGATGAAAAGCTTGTTTTTTAACATGTGGTCTTGTTGAATAAATGAACAAACAGACATAACGATATGTATAATATGTAAATGTATATGGGTATATATCATTTTATATTTAGATGGTTGGATGGAGAAACAGGGAAAGAGAGACAGAGAGACAGAGAGACAGAGAGACAGACAGACAGACAGACAGACAGACAGACAGACAGACAGACAGACAGACAGACGGATGGACGGACGTGCGGACGGATGGACCGATAGATAGATAGATTGATAGATAGATGGATGGACAGATGGACAGACAGACAGACAGACAGACAGAGAGAGAGGTCGATTGATTGATTGATTGATTGATTGATTAGGAGTATGCAGTGAAGTGAATTACCCTCCAGTTTCACAAACACTTTGTTGTGGTGAGATTAGTAGCTACTCCAAGAAAAAAGAAACAATATATCAAACCGGCTTGACTGATCAATCAGTTGACTGACAGAGTCAACGAAGGTGTATTTTCCAACTGGGTGTTCATTTTTGCTCATATTTTTCAGTTACAAATGCCTTTACTCCTCTCTACGACATTCCGTACATGACTATATTACCTGATCATATACCCTTTGTTTCTCGCTGTTCATCTTGCGTTTTCCCATAAACTAGTGGCCATTATTGTGTCGATGTGCTTTTCTGTACTCAAATAAGCAAACTCATGCTCGTCTTTTGAACTAGATGACTTATATCTGTTTTTGTTTTTTCCCTATGGCTTTCAGGTAGATTTCTACAGAGAGCCGAGTGGTCTCAAGTTGATCTGTGATGCCCGAATACATTCCTACTTGTGTACATTCCCTTTTTTGTTTCACTTCTTGTCCAATAACTATTGCAGATCAAATTTGATCTTTACTATCACACCAACCGAATTGTAAATACCACACACATACACATACACACACATACACTCACACACATACACACACATACACTCACACACACACACACACATACACTCACACACACACATATAATATATATATTTTTGTTCTTTTATTTTTAAAAAAATATTTTTTTAAATTACGATTTTTTAACAAAATATATATAGATCTATATACACATGCACACACACGCGCGCGTATACTCGCAAGCACAAACACACACATTCCTGATATTTTTATGTCAGTTCTGCTTTAACATAGGTTTAGAGAACTGTTGTATTATAAAAAATGTATCTTTTTATAATGCAAGCAAACTGGAATACGGTAGATACTCTCTGGCCAACTTCATAAATAGGCACGTACCTATTACTGATCATTTTAAATAAACTAATGATTTAGGTGCAGGTAAACACGCGCAAGCTCCCATGCACGCACCATGCACACACACACACACACACACACACACACACACACACACACACACACATATATATATATATATATATATATATATATATATATATATATATATATACATATATATACATATATATACACAGTACACACATACACACACATACACATACATACACACACATACACACACATACACACACACACACACCAACACACACACACACACACACACACACACACTCACACACTCGCTCACACACACACACACACACACACACGTATACGCTCGTATATAAATGAAAGGAAATTGTCTTATTGCGATTAGAAAAGAAAACCACTTTTGACACTACATATAAATGAAAGACAAATGAGTGCCCTCGTCGGTTTTACTATTATTATTTTATTCTCATCCTTTCCTTCTACCGTTATCCTAATGTCTCCCTTTGTCTGTCTCTGTCTGTCTGTCTGTCTGTCTGTCTGTCTGTCTCTCCCTCTCTCTCTCTCTCTCTCTCTCTCTCTCTCTCTCTCTCTCTCTCTCTCTC